TATTCGCCACTCCATGGGAAAAACGTGGTCAGAAAGGGAGTGAAAAGGCAGAAGCCGAGCCAGCGGGGAGCCCGGCGTTACACAGTGTCATTTGTGGCACCCCCGTCGCGCCCATGTCACCAAAAAATCCTGTGTAGTTCCTTTGAAGGGCTCGGGACGGAATCTGCTTGGCGAGGGCGCGACGGAGGGAAGGAGGCGCCGCATGCTTGGCTGACGAATTTACTCGCGTCTGGAAGGCCCCTTTTCGCTTATCATCTGTTAAGCTGTTCGTAGCATCACTTATTGTAATATCTATTCGGGAGAATCGTTAGAAATAGATAAAAAAAGAGATAAAAAGAGTAAAAGCTGTCAATGTATATTCATCTGTTGAGTTAATATGCGTGTTATTTAATGTGTGTTGGCCTCAAATAATTAGTACTTCCTGATTAGCATACACCAAAATACGGTGCATTTTACGTCAAATGTAGATATGATGCCATTTCTCTCTCTCTCATGATTTTTTCTCCGTTATTTTCACATGCCTTGCCCAAAAGAAACGAGAAAAAAAAAACAAGAACACAAAAAAAGATGAATAAAACATGCAAAAAATAACGATTAAAATATGAAACAGAAAGTTCTGAATAACGTGGGAACATGTGCACGTAGCCTAAGGGAACCTGGCGTTTTCTCCCGCCCTTCCTCCGCCCTTCCCTCCCACCCCTCCATCCGCCCTTCCCTCCCACCCCTCCATCCGCCCTTCCCTCCCACCCCTCCATCCGCCCTTCCCTCCCACCCCTCCATCCGCCCTACCCTCCCACCCCTCCATCCGTCCCTCCTTCGCCGGGACCCCCATCGCGATGTCGTCCCCCCTCACAACACCAGGGGGATGAAAGGGACCAGTGTATTTTGTGTGCACAGATCCCATTATTTGTAATACTATAATAGTCTTAAAGTTGGGCCTTTAGGGTGGTGGAAGTCTATGGGGCGGGGAGGGGGGGGGAGGGAAGGAGGGAGGGTGCGAGAGGAGGGAGTGGAGGGGGTGAAGAGGGAAGGGAAGCATTCAGATCGAGTCTACCTGAGAGAGGAAAAGAAGAGAGAAGGAGAATATGTGAAGGGAAGGGAGAGAGAGAGAGAGAGAGAGAGAGAGAGAGAGAGAGAGAGAGAGAGAGAGAGAGAGAGAGAGAGAGAGAGAGAGAGAGAAAGAGAGAGAATAAACAGTGATATATAATTTGATTAATATAATTTATTTCCTTAAAATAACATAATATGAATACCAAATAATGCAATTAACATACGAGTAAAATACACAGTGTTCAAAGGCGTGGCATGTCTCCGGTTTTATAGTATAGTATATGCAAATTTACATCGAAGTATAACTATTAAGGAGAAAATCATCTTTCCAGAAACAATTCTAATGCCCAGAGTTATCCCATAAAGATATTTTCTGATATTTGAAGAAAAAAAATCATTACTTTTTAAAATTCAGTTTATGAAGCTGTAGCCGTAAAGTAACATTAAATACTTTTCATGTGCAAATCACGTACGGTATATGTGCTTAGATTCATACACGCACGGACAGACACGCGCCCAGGAACATGTGCACGCACAAGCACACACACACACACAGACGCACACACAAATTAGACTTTGTAGTTACATACCCGCGTATAAAACTACAGACATCGATAAATATGCACAGAAGAAAGAGCAAAAGTCAAAGATAATCTTCTGCTTCTTGTTTCGAACTTTCGCCCTCCCCCCCCTTACCTGTATGCCACATTGACCCCCTCCCCCCCCTCCTTTACCTGTACATCATATCCTCTTCCCCCTCCCCCCCTTTACCTGTACATCACACTGATCCCCTTCCCCCCAATTTTCATGATATTAGCTGATAAGCGCGAGGCGATAGCGTGAGACCCAATGTCCTGCAGCTGTCGATGAGTCTTGCATTGGGAGGGCCTACGCCCCGCCCCTCGACACCCCGTCCCTGCACCCAACTTCTGTTTTACCTGGATTTTTTCCCGTTTTTTTGCTTCGTAATTGTGTTGACGCAGATGTGAATGCAGTATGTGTGTGCGTGTGCGTGTGTGTGTGTGTGTGTGTGTGTGTGTGTGTGTGTGTGTGTGTGTGTGTGTGTGTATGTGTGTTTGTACGCGGGTGCCCGTGCGTGTGCGTGATTGTATGTTCACGTATTTTTATTTGTAACTTGATCCTCCACTCCCTCGGCCTCCTCGCCTCCTCCTCTTTCTCCCAAGAGACGCCCATATCCTACGGCCGCCCGTCACTAACCCTTCCCCTCTCTCCTCCTCCTGCAGACATCCCGGGCGGCTATGACCCCGAGGGCGTGTACGGGCCCATGGGGACGCCCTGCCAATCCGTGCGAACCAAGAGGATCCGGACCTCCTTCAAGCACCACCAACTGCGGACCATGAAGGCGTACTTCGCCCTCAACCACAACCCCGACGCCAAGGACCTCAAGCAACTGTCGCAGAAGACGGGACTGTCGAAGCGCGTCTTGCAG